AAGGAGATGTCTCCTGGCATTCCTGGGCTGGGGGCACAGTACATTTGGGGTCAGCTTGATCTTGTAAAGCTGCCTGACTTACCAAACTTGAGATCAGCACTGAGGGCTCCACTCAGGTCTCACCCAACCCATGGGCACTCTCTGTTACATTTCTCAAGAAGACCAAAGGTTAGGGAACTGCAGCAGCAGCCCAGGCATATTTGTAGCAACCATCCATCCTTCTGTTGGAGAAGTTGTGGCAAAACCCATGTTGCTGAGATGAGGTCCATATATGCTCGCTCTTCCTCTTTGTTGCAGGTAACAAAATCACCAAGAACACTGTTCGCGTCTTGATTACTTTCATCTGGCTCTACTCCTTGTTCTGGGCCATTCTGCCCCTGGTAGGCTGGGGCTACTATGGTCCTGAGCCATTTGGCATCTCCTGTACAATAGCCTGGAGCAAGTTCCACAACTCCTCCAATGGCTTTTCATTCATCCTGAGCATGTTCCTCCTGTGCACAGTCCTGCCTGCACTGACCATCGTTGCCTGTTACTTGGGAATTGCCTGGAAGGTTCATAAAGCTTACCAAGAGATCCAGAATATTGACAGGATCCCTAATGCAGCTAAGCTGGAGAAGAAGCTGACGCTGGTGAGTTACCCCAGTGATGAGAAGAGTCTGCAGTAATTAGGAGTTTGCAGAGAACTGGCTCTGCTCATGCATGGCTCATGATGACCCTTCATTGCTTTTGTCTGGTATTGACCAAAGACTGGAGAGAAAGATTGGTGTTTCCAGTCTCACCCATACTCTGCACTCCTCAGAGGAGCAGGGGGGTCCTGGAAACCTTGTCATTTCGGTAGCTTGGTCAGGATTATATATCATAGGTACAACACAACTTGTTTAACCTTCTTTAGGCAGTCGCACCCATGATTTTCATGAACGTACAGATTTCCATTCTTGCTGGACTAGCTGTTGAGTCCTTTCTTGCTGTGGGTGGGGTGAAGGTCTTGTTCTGTCATCCTAGCTATTTTTAATTGAGTGGCTATTCTCATAGAATCACAGAATAGTTTGGGTGGGAAGGGACCTTTAGAGGCCATCCAGTCCAACCTCCCTGCAGTGAGCAGGGACACCTTTAACCAGATCAGGTTGTGTGAGAGCTACACAGAAATTCTGTATGGAAACAGGATTTTTTTAATAGCATGGTTTTTCAAATAAGCATTTCAGTTTCTTGTGGGAAAGCAGACCTGACCCAAGCTTTCCACGGGCCAGTCTCTTGACAGGCTGCACTTTCTGGTTGGGCTGTGTCTCCTGGGACATTTTGCAGCCAGAGTCAGGGAAGGAGATGTAAACAACAACTGCCTCGTAAGAACCCCACAGCGTAGATCTGCTAGGTGGGAATAAAAGCGTATATGCACTGCCCGTGTTACCCGTGCTCATACTGTCACCAAGCACACAGTTTCAGGTATTTTGGCTGGTTCAGGTGCGGTTTCATCCAGACACCACGTGCCTGGGTACCAGATCCAGCCAGTGCAAGCTGAGAACTGAAGCCCTCTTTCCTTTTTCAGATGGCCGTGCTTATCTCAGTCGGCTTCCTGAGCTCGTGGACACCCTACGCAGCAGCCAGCTTCTGGTCCATATTTAACTCCAGCGATTCCCTACAGCCCATCGTTACGCTGCTGCCCTGCCTCTTTGCCAAATCCTCAACAGCGTATAACCCTTTTATTTACTACATCTTCAGCAAAACTTTCCGTCGTGAAATTAAACAATTGCAGTGTTGCTGTGGCTGGCGGGTTCATTTCTTCAGCACCGACAGCTCTGCTGAAAACCCCGTCTCGATGATGTGGAGTGGGAGGGACAACGTACGCCTCTCTTCGGCGGCGAAGGTGGACAACCAGGGAGCTGCAACTCGCTGAAACCCAGCGATGGTTTCACAGCATAGGTCGAAACTTGGGCTCACTCATGGGTCCAAACGAGTAGGAATGCAGCACATGGGGTTGTCACTGCATATCTTATGTCAAATACAGAGGTTTAAGTACATATTTTTAAGCAACTCTCAAATATTCTTTAAGCTGCACAACAACAAAAAAAAAAAACCCGCTATTTTTTTCAAGAATTTCCCCTTTAGAGGAAATAGGTAGGTTTATGTACTAAACATAAAAATATGTAAACTAAACTTATTTCTAGGGAAACAGCTATAATGAAGAGAGGATTTATTATGTTTCATTTTTTCTCTTGTACTTTTGACTTTTTAATGCAATCTATCTGCAAACCCTTGGCTCTCTCAGTGAAACAGCCGTCAGAGAAAACCGCAGGTTGAACGCAAAAGTGTTACCAAATAAATACAGCTGAGAGCACAGCTCTCCTGCAATACAGACAGAAAACCATACAGGTACCAAGAGATATCCACCGCCAGGAAAAAGGTGATAAAGTGGCTGCTATCAAAATGTCTTGCAGAGATCTACGGTTCCTTGCTCTGTCAGAGGTATAGTCCCAACTCCTCAAAACACGAGCTCAACAAGAAGTCATAGAATCATAGAATCGTTTAGGTTGGAAAAGACCTTTAAGGTCATGAAGTCCAACCATTCCCCTAACCCTGCCATCCCATCACTAAACCCTGTCCCTAAGCACCTTGTCTGCCCGGCTTTTAAATCCCCCCAGGGATGGGGACTCGACCCCTTCCCTGGGCAGCCCATTCCAGCCCTTTCATTGAAAAATTTTTTCCTAATGTCCAACCTAAACCTCCCCTGGCACAACTTGAGGCCATTTCCCCTCATCCCATCACCCGTTACCAGGGAGAAGAGGCCGACCCCCCCTCGCTACTCCCTCCTGTCAGGCAGTTGTAGAGGGCGATCAGGTCTCCCCTCAGCCTCCTTTTCTCCAGGCTGAACACCCTCAGTTCCCTCAGCTGCTCCTCATAAGACTTGTGCTCCAGACCCCTCACCATTGTTTAGGTTGGAAAAGACCTTTAAGATCATCAAGTCCAAGTGCTGAGCAGCCCTAGGCTGAAGAGGTTAGGTGGGAGCGCGGCGGTCAGCGAAGGATGCCTTCTGCGTACCACAGGCAGCAGAGTGAGAAGTGAAGGAACCTCTCAGCAAAAGGAACTGGGCACGTTATGCTGTTGCTTGCTGAGCTGTAACAGCTCTTCTACCACGAACGCGGTGGGAGCGTTGGTTTTCTAGAGGAGCACTCGGTACAGCGTGCCAAAAGCCATCCCCAGGATAACCTGCCCGGCAGTAAGCAATCCTGCAGTCCCAGCTCTCGTGGCTTCAGTGGGACCTCCCAAGAGTTTCCCACTTGGCTGGAGCACTGCCACAGTTGCAACTGAGCAGAGAGTTTGCCGATTCGATTTAAAGCATTCGTGCAACCGTAACATCACCCTGCTAGCCCGTTTTAACCAAAAAGTCGCTGAGGTGGAAACGATGAGCTCCCACAGTTTCAATCTGTCTCTGACTTACTCTTTGTGATCTCAGAGGACACAAACACACATCTTTAGGGTTTGAAATGTTGTGCAAAATATGGCTTGATAGCCGCGGCACGTCTTGCTTCCCCTGCTTGCTCAGCTGACCGCATCTGTCTTTGCTTTAGGTTTGGTGAAGACTTCAAGAAGAGTTAAATCACAGGCAGATTTGGCACAGCTTTTAAACAACAACCTAAAACAACAGTGAATGGACTTTGAGTTCTTGAAAACGTCTACCCCACACAAACCCTAATAATTGGTTTCATTTTATTAGCTACAGCTAAGGCCAAGAACAGGATTAAAAGATGGGCTTGAACACTTCTGCGGCTGTGAGAATCGCTGTTGCTGTGGAGTGTGGATTAGAAAGAACAAACAAAATGAGACGTGAGCTGTGACCTACGCTGAGGCACAAGTTAAGTACTAAGCCAGGGGTTAGGAGACTTTGAGGAGCTTGCCTTCCCCTGGACTCCTGCCACTGGCTGGGGCAACTCTCATGAATATTCCACCAGATTAAACTAGTTTATTTGAAAAATTTGTGAAAAATTCCTAAATTAATTTGGCCTGCAGGGCGACGTTACCTTGTCCTGCGTTGTCACTCACAGATGCTCCATACGGAATGAGGCTGCGCTCAGTCTTCCATCCCAAATACAAAGCGGTGAAGCGTCCTGTGGGAAACCATCGCCTCCGACAGCCCGCGGCACAGGAAAATGGGAACAGGGAAGAGGAACGTGGGGAGCAGGAGAAAACAGCAGCAACTGAGAGGGGAGCACGTGAAAGCTGAAGGAAAATATTTGGGAAGGGGAGCTGAGGCAGGGGAGTGTTATGCAAGCGTGTTCGTGGGGAGGGCCAGGAGATGGCGGAGGGAAACGCAGAAGGGGCAACGGTGTAAAACGAAGGAGGGGGCAGAGGAGCGCGTCAGCGGGCGGAGGAAATGTTAACGTGCTGGAAAGGGACTCGTTACGGCAAATGTCAATTATCAGCTTTAAAAAATAACCTGATGGGAAGATGAAACTGTATTTTAATAATTGTCTTCCACCTCACAGTTCTTGCTTTCACTTGCTCAGTTGCTTGATGTTTAAAAATAAATAGCAAACCAATATATTCCCATTGCTAATTGCAGAGTCGTGAACGGAAGAACGAGACGCACATTAATAAAGCAACGTAACGTGAGCTTCCTCTGTGAAAAATTCAGGAGCAGAACAGGTCCACATCCACTTGTAAATGCTTTTAAAGTGTACGTAATATGAAATATATATGCCGCTCTACAACACAGACGACATCTCTGTAAAACCACAAGATCTGTATATTGTTCATGTTTCAGTACAGTGCTTTAACAGCTTGATTTATTACCTGTTTATGTACTTCAGTTTTAAAAATCAAAGTCCAGGCATTTGTGTATCAAATATGGCTCAAATCTCTTTTTCATTTTTCAGACCCAGTGAGAAGCAAATCAAAACTTCCCTGGTAGAGGCTGAATTTTAGGTGGTTTTATGTTACATACAGAAAATTTAAAAAGCAGGACTGCCCTTGACCAGGGAAGTAGAAAAGGAAGTATAGCATACTATATAGGGGACTAGCTGCTTTTTCTGAAGTTTCATGAAATTGCTTTATGGTCAACATATAACTCTAATTTCATGGCATTTTCCTGCCCAGTCCTGGTCTGTGCTGTCAACCAAGTGATCTTCTATGACACTGAAGCAGAAGGCAAGTGCTTACATCAGGAGCGATTCTGGGCAGCTGATGTCTGCCATCACCAGCGCAGTCACCCCAGTACAAATATTTAAGGTAAAAACTCCAAGAGTATCTCACCTGCTCACATCCTAGGAGTTACCTCACCAAGGTGTGGAAGTTTACAATGCAGGCACCCACATCCGAGCGAGCCACCTCCGGCTCCCGTCTTTCCGTTGAGGATAAATGGAGCTCCCTACTTAGATGATGACATATAAAGTTAAAATAATACAACCAGCACCCTGACTTGCACTAAAATAAATTGGAATTCAGTGCCTTGCTTTGAAAAACCTTCTAGGCAGTTTGTCCATCTCAGCATAGGAGTAACTTACAGGACTAGATCACTCCTATTAATGGTCAACTTTCCATCTGTAAAATTAAATGTGACCCATTTCAGAACAAAGATCAATTATTTGAGGGAGAACATTGTTCTAGTGGTTACAGCGCGAGGCTCACCCTGCCAAGCCCTGGGTTCTACCCCATTACTTTGCCAGTTACACTGTGCGACTTTGGGGAAATCACTTATTTGGGTTCTTCTCTTACCCACACAGTCGACCGTCTGGCTGCTCATCGCTGTAAAGCACCGACTGTTCAATGAACAGCACAATACAAGTGCAAAAGCTCCAATCCTGAAGGTTGTGAAACGCTAAGAATGGAGAAGGGATTGCTACTCCCTTAGGGTAATTTGTCCTCTGGATCATCTACCATGCTCGGGAGGTTACTTTATGACTGAAAGACAAGAGGGATGTTTCTTTCACAGTTAGGGCACTGGCCTGGGACTTGGTTCTTGCTTTATCAAAGCTTCTTTTGTGAAAGACAATGCATCGCAGTAAGTCAATTCCTCCGTGTAAATTAGGATCTCCACATCGCCAGCCTTTTCTCCTAGCTGTATTCCTTGCATCTTTGCCAAACAGAAAGTGTCTTACACGTAAAAAAAGACCTACAATTTTGGAAGTTCCCAAGGGGAATGACTTAGCCATGCAGTAACCTGCCGCTACCTTGCTCATTCCTATTGGAAAGATCCGAGTGTCTAGTCCCACGGTTTATAGCTATCATTTTGTCCTGGAATATGCCCAAAATACTCATATTGAAACAAAATATTTCAGTATATTTGCAGAACACCTACTTGATTTTGCACTAACCCAACTTCTCACTAGCCCGAACAGCAGTGCAGTTTTAAAGCAGGCAGGTTGATGAGGAGTGTGTGCAGCGTCTGAGATTTTAGTTGGTGACCATTCACCGTTACCAATCAGGGCTGACAACCCTGGCATCAGCTTGTCAGCAAGCACCACGTTCACTGTAGTGCTGCTTCGGCAGCAGAGAACATATGGGAAAAGCATGTTCCATCCTAGCTTGCCATCCCGTAAGGAATACCTGCTTAGGCAGTGAACTGACGACTCGCTCGAAGGAAAGCCTGCTCACTTGAATGTTTTCTTTCCTCAAGGAGCCCAGTACAAACACTGTGCGCCGGGTGAGAAAACGACTCTCTCCCTAGATCACCATTTTGTTTTCCAACCTTGCTATGAGAAGAGAGAATCAACGTACGTTCGTCAGTCCCAGTCTAGAGCTTCAAAGGGCCCTCCTTCAAGCACTGAAAGCCTGGAGTGATTCCAGTTGAAGTTGGTGGGGACTTTTTTATTGAATTCAAGGGAAGAAGATAGTAAAGATCATGAGATTTAAAAAAAGGACTCTGTAAGGCAAATGCAGGTAGACGTCATACATTGTCATAGTGCAGAGAAACCATAGACAGGAAGAAAAGAATTAAACCAGTGCCATTACAAAGTTTAGAGGTCACCAACACTTTATGTATTTTCCCAATTGGCAGGCAAGAAGGCTTGTGAAAAGACCTAAGGGAGTATTTTGGGGATTGGACTAGGTGACCAACCTAACTGATTCTCTGATTCTACGATTTTTATTGTTGTTACTTTCTGTATATCCTGGTTTGAACCATGCCAGTCTTTCAGGGGGGAATCAGATACTTATAAATAGTTGAGGGTAAACCCCCAAGGAGGGTCAAAGGCAAAGGTCAGGTTTGGGGTCAATACTTTAAACCTTAATTAGAAAGACTGAGAGAACAAGAAGTCAGTTAACCTCCTTGTTTCTGAGCAGTGTGAGACTACGGGCACGTGCCCCATTAAACAAGCTTATTTTAAGTAAAGATCTCATCAGCTGCAATCTTTGAAGTGAGGATACAATGCTATTACCTGGATCTGCAATTCCAGGCCCACTGCAGAAAATCTCATTTTGAATAAAGTATGATGGTGCTACAGCCTCTTCCACCACGTCACAGAGAGAAGCGTCACCCCAGGGAGGCTGTAGTCTCATTTTATGATGGGATGCAAGGAGCAGCAAGGCAAAAGGAAGTGAAGTGGGATAAGGCCATAACGCCAGGTACTGTTCCCCAAAAGACCCTCACACCCCATTTGGCCTGTATGGATTCCACAAAGGATTTTTCATGTGTATAAATCAAATTGCTTCTGGAGGGGAGACAAAAATGGTGCAAATTCAGGATCAATTTACCTGAAGGAAGTCCAACCGCTAAATAGACAGGGATAGCAAGAACAATTCTAGACAGAAATACAGAACTAAGTAAGAGAGAATGAGCACTGAAATGAACTTCACTTGAGAAACAGTGAGGTATGGGGGAACGGCGGCGATGCAGACAGCGCAGAGGCACACAGCTGCTGCAATACGGGCTACTGCTGGATACAGGATTTGTATCTTATTAAACAAACCATGAACTTTGAAAAAGTATGGCTTATCTACTTACACATTTCTAAAGAGAGTTAAGTCAGATTAACGTTAACATCAAAGTGCTGCTGGATTCAATCACATCTCTCCTGAACTTCAGCAATCTTGCCTGAAGACTTCTCGGTCTACAACGCCTGCCAAAAAATTCAAAAGAAGTATTCTGCATGCAAAAGAGATCAACCAAAGAGCTGGAACGGATATTTTATTTATCAGTATATCTGGGAAAAAAAAAAAACCAAACAAACGCAAACCCACCTACTGAATTCCCTTCATTCCCTGAAGTCATAGTTCTAGAGATAAAATTTTCTTGTGGGTACATATATAAATAATGCAAAATAGAACAAGCAGAGAATTTACAACTTTCTTAGAAAGCACAAAACACCAGGCCACGGGGCAGTGGAACCAAAGGTATGTGGCTGGCCATCCCTTGCTGATGATTACGTTCTGTAAGCGATTAGTATAAGGCTGGTTGCAATGCGTGACATTTCAGCATTACATAGATTGCTGCCTCTTCTCCAGGCACTTCTCAATATCATCCAACACTTGGACAGCTGCTTTTGGAATACGAGTCCCTGGACCAAACACATTGGTAACACCGGCTTCATACAGGAAGTCGTAATCCTGTTCAGAAAGAAATTGAAGATCTGTAGTTAATAGTGTAACAGAAAATTGAGAATTGATTTATAATTGGTGTATGCTCTATCCTGTATGCTGGGCCTGAGAAAGTACATGCAACAAGTCCCAGAGAGAGGCAGCACAACTTCAAGGGAAATGGGAAAAACACAGCAGTTAGGAGTTAAAAAAGAAATACTAAAAAATTCCACGGGAAAGATTTTATTTGTTTAGAATCAGACTAATGTCAGATCCTTGGAAAATCCTCAATTGGATGCGACCCTGAATAACCTACTCTAAATTTGATCTAACTTCTAATTTTGAAAATACTGCTTTAAACAAGGGCTTGGACCAGATGACTCTCGCAATCTGAGTTACTCTAGTTTTATGGCTGTCCTGAAATTTCAAAACAACCTAGGAAGCAGTTATGTATTTTACTTCTACCACAGGTTAGGAGCATCCCATTTTGCTACTGGACAGAACACAATTTGTCTCCTAGAAAAATACTACAAGTTTTGTTTGTTCGATTTAAAAGTCTGTCACTCCTGAACACTTACCCAATTGGCTAGAAAAGGAAGAGGTCTGGGAAAAAGGAGTAACAGGAGATTTATATGCAAAATCACTTTGAATCTTTCTAGACAGATGATGACCCTAAACGGGACACAGCCAGGCACATTGTGGGTGAGCTAAGGAAAATTTTAAGACAAAAGCAGAGATCTGATTGCAAGGGAATCCAACAAACTGTTCAATAGTTCAGGAGAAAGCAGAGGGAGTGAAAGGCAACGCTGAGGCCTGATGACGGGGATCATGAGGAGAGGCTAAACAGTAAATGAGATGTGTAGCCTATAGGTGTCGGTCCCCGCCAGGCATCTTAGTCACTAGCTGTGGCTCTTCTGAACTACTACTGGAAGTCATAAAGTCTCTTAAGACAGGAGCCAGCCTTTACAGTAATATGCAAGGTACTGGCAATCTGAAACAACAGAGCATGAAGAACATCCCCCTGAGGCTAAATCTTTTCACAACACAACCTAATATCCCATCCAACAAACACTCTGAGTTAAACCAGGACACGGTGTCCAGAAAACCAGAGCAACAAGACCTGACAGCACTCTGCGACCATCTTGCAGATCTGTGCTGACCCTGGTGATTGTATGCAGCAGCCTTCAGCGCTGTAAATCCCCTCTGACATTAACAGAATATAGGAAATAGCTAAAAACAGCACAGATGGAAATAAAGCAATCTCCTAGTCTTGATGGAAATGATGTTGATCCGTACCTGAGGTGGGATGACACCTCCACATATGACAAGAATGTCTGGCCGGCCAAGGGCGTTGAGTTCTTTGATGAGTTCAGGCACGAGAGTTTTATGACCTGCTGCAAGTGTGCTCACACCAACACAGTGCACGTCTGCATCGACCGCCTGCTGGGCCACTTCTCGAGGTGTCTATGTGGAAAGAGGGTTACATGACAAGTAATAGGCCCAGCCTGGTTGCTGAACAAGCACTAGAGGGAAAATCACTGCATTTGAAATACATTGGACACCGCTCAATCAGTCATACCTGGAAGAGGGGACCTATGTCCACGTCGAAGCCAATGTCTGCAAATCCTGTAGCAATAACTTTAGCTCCTCTGTCATGGCCATCTTGACCCATCTTTGCAACAAGTATACGAGGCCTGCGCCCCTCACGATCCATGAACTTGTTAACTCTGATTGAAAACACACGTTGTACCATTCACTGTAAGTCACTGAGAATCATCAGAAGTATTGCCACAAATAAAAAAAGCATTGGCTGCAACTGCGTATCATTTCTGTACATCAAATCAAAAGATCTTCAACGTCATGGTTTGTCTATGTAGTTAGCATACTACGTTAATACTTGCGTTATATGATTACTAACCAATTTCTTGTAATTACTATCCTGAACAATAAAACATTCTTTTTTAAAGAAAACCACTCCACTACTTTCCTGCTTTGTAACGGACAAAATGCTGAACTCTCTGAGGGTTTAATGAGCTGAATTACAGCTAACTAAAACACAATTTTTAGATTTTAAGAATAATTACGACTAATTATTGCAAAAGTACTTGTATGGCATACAAGGCTATAGAGATGGGTCCTAGACATCGCACTGTGTGCATCATCATTCAAGTGGCACAAGCAATTCAGCCTCTTCACCCAAGAGGACAGCAGCAAAGGCAGAAGCTGACAAAAGGCACAAATGGGCACTGTTTTCACACATACTACCATCTTCTGATGTTTCCTCCCTCATCATACAAGTAACACCCATAAACTGGAAGCTGTATGTGGATATCCAGACAGATTTTAGCCTTGCAATTTTAGGAACAGTAAGAGTGAAGTTGCAGGGACACCTTATGGGCAGAGCAAAACCAAGTTTTGCAAATATGAATTGCTGGAAATATTTGTTGAGATTACTATTACGGTCTTCAAAAGAAGCAATCCAAGGTACAGGGATTTCAGGGAACATTTCTCAGCTTTTTAATCTTATGGCTGCCTAGTCCATTTGAACAAAATCATCAAATCATAACATCACCTCAGTGGATTTTGTTTGCGAGCAAATACACGTTCAATTAAGTTTTGACTAGTCTCTTATCATTCTGCTTACATGCTTATGGGCATGAGAATGACTGTGCAGGTCTCTGTTTTTTTTCTGGGGATGTCATTCAGGTTTGAGGAATGCTTTTTTAGGGCACAGTGAGTAGCACATGTATCTAATGGATTAAATGTGAGACTGTGTTTAGCTTCCTGGGAAGCTATTCTCACCTATTGATGGCATGAAGAATTTCATCGCTCTCTCCAAACTCCTGGCGATAAGCACCGCTCACCATTCGGTCGCTGGCTTTATGCTCCCCAAACACCTTCTTCATTGCATCTGTTATTTCTCCAACAGTGCACCTAAGATACAGAAACAAACTATTAATGCGATCAGAAGGCTTATATGAAAACAGAACACAGAATTCACTGGCAGCGGCCCAACTATTTGCCTTGCTGCACGACGAATTCGTTTACACTCATTTCCCCTTCGGTGCTACAACTCTGAACATCTGACTCACCCCACTGTCATCCACTAATAGAACATGCAAGAGTATTTTCAGAAAATACTGTTTTGCTGATGCGAGAAGTGATTTTACAAGTGACACGGCAACGTGGACCACTGCATGGCAAAATATTTCAGGAAAGTAAATGGAAGTTTTTCAACTGGGAATTTTTTGGGCTCAGACTGCAAGATCTTGCATTTGGACTCATACTAAAATTCAAAATATGAATCAAGAGAAAACAAAAAAGGAAGAACACACAGAAAAGACTGAAACCTAACGTTTTACTGGAATTTGTTTGCCTTTCCCTTGATGTTCATATTTTAGTATTTATTATTCTACTTCTCTACTGCTGACATAGCTCCTTTATCCACTGAGATTTTCCTTTATCTGGGAAACCCACTTACATGCAGGTTACAAGCTTTGTTTGCTACTGGAGACACTGTGCATGTTCGAAATAATACGTGTTTTACTGCTGTAGCACAAGGGCTAGAAGCAAACTAGGCTGTGCTGTCTTCTTCTACAAACATCAGAAATAACACCTTCTGTCCCAAAGCATTTAAAAATCTCAAGGTTAATGGATTCCACCTTTCTGCATAATATCTGTAATGCAGACTGTACAAAAAAACCCCAAACCAATGCTGTGCTCTAATTACAGTTGAGACCACAACCAAATACTTGATGAAAAGAACCTACTTAGAAGGGAAAAACAACTCATCTGTGGAGAAAGAGCAGTTCAGCTAGTAGCTCCATCAGAGCAAGCTTCTTACTTCTGGTATGATTCGGTACCGTGTAACAGTTTTGAAGGTATGCTACTGAGCTCTTGATGGAAATCTTTCATCAAAAATACTCTGATGAAAATATTTTAGTTTATACTTGAATAGGAAAAGACTAGAGAATATGTGTCTACTAAGAAATGAATACAACTAGCTGCAAACTTTGTGAAAGAAACAAAACCACTACTCTTAGAAAATACTTTAAAAGTATGCTTACAAATACAAAGACCAAACCCCATCCGTTCAGCAGCTTTCAAACCCCTGGAATTCATTTTCTCCTGTCATATTGCATTTAACTATAAGCTACTCTGAGGCAAAATTAGGTTAAGCTTTTATATAAAATGCTCAAGGGATGTTTGGACAAGGTGCAACTTCTTGCCCACATACATTTAGAAGGGGCTGGCCAAATGAATTGTACTGTTTTCCTTCTGCTGTTTGCAGTTTCGGTAGCTACTAGCTGATGCCTAGCGTATGCGATCCGCCACGCATCCAACGTAACAGAAGATGGATTTCTGCTCGGTGAACTGAGTCCTTCAGCAAATTTCAGAGCGACATTTTACTTCCTGTGACCTCCCCAGCTCTTTTGCTAGCTCATGCTTTTTATACTCAGCAAACTTAACCATAGATATGAACTGTAACTACGCTAATGTAAAATGGCAGAAATCCTATCTTGAGCATACAGGCAAGATCTGTATAATGCATATGCTTGAAGCTGGCCTCTTATCTCTAGGTATCACTCTTCACAGTTGGCCTGCTTTGTCTAGAGGACAGTATCACGCTGGAACACACATTTTTAAGACAGTGTCACAGTACTGACGCAGTCTCGGACACTTTTTGTCACCTCCAATCTCCCAGCTTTCTGGAATTATATTTTTGAAGTTCTCTGCTTTTATCCATTTTCTTCCTCAGCGTGCCAAGGAGTTCATATCTGGATTTACAAGGATCATAGTCTACAAAAGCAGCTAACACAAAGTAATACCAAAGTTATAGTATCATAGAATCGTTTAGGTTGGAAAAGCCCTTTAAGATCACCGAGTCCAACTGTTAACCTAACCCTGCCATCCCTCCACTAAACCCTGCCTCTAAGCATCACGTCTGTCCAGCTTTTAAATACCTCCAGGGATGGGGACTCAACCCCTTCCCTGGGCAGCCCCTTCCAGTACCTAACAACCCTTTTGGGGCAGGTATTCT